GGAGCAGTCCACCTCAGCTCTGCTCAGACATTGCCCTTGCTGTTCTCAGCCATGAGGTCCTGGGGCTCACTGGGTGGCGAGCAAGCTATTTGGGTCAGTGTCATCCGTGCTCCAGGGCCCAGGCCCCACCTGGAGCTACCCAGCCTCTCCTGCTCACTGCCCACCTCACAAAGGGTGGCGCTGCCTTCTCTGCGCTGGACCCAGGGCCTCGGCCTCGACACCTTCCCGAGTGCAGCAGCTGCCTGCTGGCTTCCAAAGGTGGCATTCTTTAGCTGTCAGAACCCCAGTAATGGCCCTGGGGGAGGCCGAGGAGCCTCAGCCAGCAGGAGACAATAGTGGAGACAGGTGTGTGGCTTCTGGGGCCTCTGCCTACCCAGGCATGGCTATAAATACTCACGATGCAAATGGCAAATGCTCTGAGACATTTATCATAAATTATAGGTGATGATTGTGAGTCTTTAGGCCATGAGACCTCTGGGGAATATCTCAGTGCTTTAAAAAAAAAAGAAACTAAGCCGGGCTCGGTGGCTCAGCCTGTAATCCCGCGCCTTGGGAGGCTGAGGTGAGTGGATTGCCTAAGCCCGTGGGTTCGAGACCCGCCTGGGCAACTTGGCGAGACCTCATCTCTACAACAAATCAAAAATCAGCCGGGCGTGGTAGCGCGTGCCTGTAATTCCAGCTACTTCGAAGGCTGAGGTGGAAGGATTGCTGGAGCCCGGCAGGTGGAGGCTGCGGTGGCCGGGAGCGGCCACTGCACTCCAGTCTGGGCGACAGAGTGAGACTCCAACTCAAAAAAAAAAAAAAAGAAAAGAAAAGAAACTAACTTGTTGGGATGGGAGGGCCGTTCAGCCTGATTGTGGCTGGGAGCAGCAGGGGTGCTGGGTGGGATGGAGCACAGGGGCAGGGAGCGCTGCAGTCAGTGGAGTCACAGAGGGAGCGAATGACAATGCAGCCCCATCAGGAGTGACCCAAAGCCAGACAAGGAGGGTGCCTCGGCCAGGTTGGAACATTATGAGCAGGTATTACTTGTAGAACAACTTTCACTGGGTAGAAAGAGAACAGTGCCTTTCAAACAAGTGTGTGGGGGGAGCACTTCTATGCTCTTCCGTATATCTGCGCCCCAACCCCGCACTAGCCTAGCGGGAAGTCCTGGCTAGAGGGATGTGGTGGGCCATCCTCAGAGCTGCAGCCAACAGCCGGCAGCAAGGGCACAGCGGCCTCCCCCACCTGATGGAAGCCAGAGCCCTGCCAGGAAGACCCACTGAGTCCTCTTCCTCCTCCCCAGCCTCGCCTGGCACTGGGGCTGCTGGGTGTTACAGGCAGCTGGTCTTCCCTCCAAGCAGATCCTTCCTGCCCTCTTATCAGTCACTCTCTGCACGTGACCAAGGCCTGCGAGTCCTGTCCGGTGCCAGGCAGGGGGGGCCCACGTCGGGGAGACATGCACATTCTAGCTGCCCCACATGCTAAGCCGTTGCTTCCTTCTCTTCCAGAAACTCCTGAGCAAACACCAGGCACCAGGATGACTTCTAATTTAGTATCATAATAATAAAGCCCACAGTGGTACAGAACCATGAACTGCATTTTCAATTCCTGTGGCCACTAATGAGCACTGAACTCCTGCTGGAGATGTTGTCAGGATAAACATGCAGAATCGATGGCTTCGGCTGCAGGAGGAAATGGAGCACGGCCCATCACCATTGCCATCGTCGCCGCCCCATCCCGTCACCACTGCCACAGACGTGCCCTGTCCGGCCCGGGCCAGCCACCGGGCCTCACTCAGAGGAGCTGGTCACCGCAGAGGCAGATTAAAATAATAACACTGAAAAGCAAGCGCTAATGAGACGAAGCTCCTGGAAGGAGGCAAATTTAATTTTCTTCTCCCCTCTGACACCCATCTTCCTTGTCCAAAGGGAGGTCCGCGCTGGGGAACACTCCACTCTTCATTACCCAGTGGCCTCGCACACAGAACACTCTGCTTTTTATTGTAGACTATACCTTCCCCTTCTCCCTTGGCTCCAGAAAGGATAAGTGATTACGATTTTGTTATCTTCTAAATTAAAAAGAAGGGGAAGTCAACTGGGTCGGAGCCGTCTGCACAGCAGTTTGACAATCAGGTGACAGCGTAACTACTGAGCAATTTCTGCACAATTCAGAAGCTCATTTTTTTCCTAAGGAATCAGTCTAACAAACACATCCTACTCTTGCTGAAAATAATTTCTTTTCCCAACTCTTCTAGGAATAAAACACTTCTAATGTATTTGTCAGGAATCGACACTCCATTTAATAAGATTAAAAAAGTGACAATTTAAAGAGCAATTGAGAAGAGTCCCACATCCATCATGGCTCATGGTTCTAACTAAAGTCAGAAGAATAAAAACAGAAAAGCACTGAGAAAATGGTAACACAAGTGTCTGTGGGGAGCGGGGTTGGGTGGGGGAGAGTGGGTTTTCACAGCTGCTTCAAGTCCAAGGTGCTGGCAGCCAGCCCTGCCTGTACAGCTGCCTCGTGACTGGTGGGACACAGCCGCCTGCTCAGTCCACCCCAAATGGCCCTCCCAGGAGCTGCCAAAGGTAACTTTGAATTTTCCCCAAAAGTCCCAGGAGTTTTCTTTCTACTCTCCCCCAAAAAACTGAATAAAGGGAAGGGGTCTGGCGACATTCTACGCCTTTACCTGGGTGGTGGCTGCGAAGGTGTCATTTCCATTCCTTACTGAGGGAGCACCACAGTAAAGTGCCTGAGGTCACAGGCTCCCATCTGTCAGTCTCTGCCGGGCCTGGCCTCACCTTCCACCCCTCAAACCAGATCCCATTCCGGGCTGCTGGCATCCTTGGCTTGGCCGTGTCTCCTTCATACCCCTCCCTTCCCAGCAGAGTCAGCCTCCACCCTCTGCTGGGCTGAGGGCTCTGTGGGTGCCTGGGAACCTCCTAGCTGTGTGCCAGCCTGGACAGGCTTGAAGTTGTGGGCCATTTTGGTCCACATGGCTCCAGGGGAGAAGTCTTCCCTGGGACCAGCCAGGCTCTGGGGAGTTCCAGACCACCCGAGACTTCTTGGCTGTCCGTTCATGCCTGTTCCCTGGAGGGTCTTGCCCTGGTGTCTGTGTGACATACCTTGTCTGTGGCTGCCAGGCCCAGATGGGCATACAAAAAAAGCTCCTGCCCCAAGGAAGAAGGCCCAGCAGAAGGGGCAGTGCTCCCCTCACCTGAAAGGGAGGCAGACCAGACCGGTGTCCTGGAGTCTGGAGCAGGCTTCCATCCAAGCGTGGGGAGGAGAGCTGGCGGCCACAGCTAGAGGGGGAGGCCTGACCCCAGTCGACCCACGGACATCTATTGTTAGCACCACCCACTTCTCCTTCTCTTTACCTGATAATAAAGGCATCTTTAAAGTGCTGGAAAGGCCAGGTGCAGTGGCTCACACCTATAATCCCAGCACTTTGGGAGGCCGAGGTGAGAGGATTGCCTGAACCCACAGGTTCAAGACCAGCCCAGGCAACTTGGTGAGACCCCATCTCTACAATCAACCAGAAAATTAGCCAGGCATGGTGGCATGTGCCTGTAGTTCCAGCTGCTTGGAAGGCTGAGGCGGAAGGATTGTCTGAGCCCAGCAGGTCGAGGCTGCAGTGGTCAGGATCATGCCACTGCCCTCCAGCCTGGGTGACAGAGTGAGACTCCTACTCAAAATAATAATAATAATAATAAATAAAGTGCTGGAAGACAGGAGGGAGAGAGATCTAGAAGGTGCATACGCCAAAGGAAATCACCAGCAGGCAGAAGGGAGGAGGCAGGCCGTGATGCTGCCTCCTCAGACATGAAGCCTAGCAGTCACATGGTATATAGCTCCCAGAGCCCAGGAGGGCCCGGGGTCTGCAGATGGAGGGCTGGGAAACCTTTTCCCTGGGTCAGCAGCAGGCACTCCAAGGCCCGGGCCCCTGGACAGGCAATGTCAATGTTTACAAAGAAGCCCTTGGATAGATCTATCAAAACGTTTGAATTCTGCCCTTGATATGGCTGATCTGGCATCTCTGTCCCCTCCGGGCAGGGATCACACCACCTAAGGAAGTGCTGAGTGGGCAGCAGCTCTCTGGCTAATGGGTGACTAAGGGCTGGATGCTGACAGAGGCAGCGACCGCATGAAGGACCCCCACTGTGCGCGGGAGTCCACCATCCCTTACAGGAGCCTCCCTGCACTGTGAGATGTCTGGCACTCCAGAGGGCTTCTGCTCACTACATGGCAGGGGTGGCAGAAATCAGAGCTCAGGGGCAGCGGGAGCAGCTTAGCCCTGCAGCTGGTACCGCTCATGAGGACAGAGCACTGCTGAGATGGTGGCTTCTCCCTGGGGACCTGGGTGGCCCTCTGCTTTCTGCCATCCTGTATCCACACACAAACACAACCTTCCCATGTAATCACACAGTTTAATGCTGCCCTACTATTTCAATGTGGCTCAACCACTCAAAACAAAGTTAAACCAAGAGGGAACAGCAACCTACTAGCTCTCTGTACACTGCCAGCCCATGTTTCTTTCTTTGAGACACCAGAAAGCCCCCGACCCTCGTCCCTCCTACAAGCAGGGGCCCAGGACCCCGGGACCACTGTGCCACTGGTGAGGCTGCTGTCTGGGGAGGTGCTCAGGCTGGCGCTGACGGCGACAGGGCGGGAGTGCTGGAGACAGCGATCTGTACAGTCACCAAGGGCATTCGGCCCTGGAACAAAAATCACTGAGACAGAAACAGATCGAGCCACAGTTGTTAAGTGAGATCCTTTCGGTGAGGATCAGGAACAAAGCTTCTTAGGCTGCTATTCTGGAATTCCCAGTTAAGTAACAAGGCATGGGGGGAATCACAGGGTCCCTATCTTGCGTCCTGACGCTGCCTCTCAACTGGGTTAAGGGAAACTAGGGCAGGCTGGCCATGGCGGTCCCAAGCCAGTTGGGCCTCGCCACAACAGGGCATCTATTTATCTAGCAGGCTTCTGAAGGGTAAATTAGCAGCTGGTGTAGTAACTATTTCCTCGTCAGCCTCCCAAGCCTAAAGGCTGGATCCATTTCAGGAATGACAGGTTAATAACTCAGTGATGCGCGTGATTATTAACTTCAGTGTCCACAGATTGATCTGCTCAGTGTGTATTTGCTGAACCTCCTCAGAGGCTTTCCCTGCCAGCCCAGGTGCATGATGAGCTGCGCCTGCGTCTTGGTCAGGAGCGAGCCGATGGGGCTCTGCTCCCCCACGCGGAGCTGTACAAAACCAAGGAAGGGAAATCACAGCATCAAAAAGGGATTAAAACAAGTGATTTGCTGTTTGAGCATCTAAAAAGACCCGGAACACCTATGATTCAGCAAATGGAAAACAACCAAAGAAATAACAGACAATCCAGCTGTCAGGAAAGGGGTTCTGTAAAGGCAAACGCTGTTGAAAACCTGCTTCCTATAGGGGCCTCCAGGTAACAGAGGCCTCAAGTCCTCTACCTGTGCGGGTGTGCATGTGCCACCTTTGCATTCCAGCAGGGTCTATTACATTCTCCTGCTCCCTTCGCCCGGTTATATTACAGAGGTAGGGTGTTAATGGTGGACTTGATGAAGATTGAAGACCCATTTTCTCCCCCTGGAGACCAGTCTGACTTGAACAAATTGAGAACAAAGCAACCCCCTTCTGCCCTTGGAAGAAAACCTGTCTGTGTCCGCTTTTGTAGCCAGGTGAGTGGTCAGCTCCTCCCTGGAAACAGGGGTAGGGGGCACTCAACAAAGACCCCTGCTCAGGGAGGACCATTTCCTGCCATCATCTGGGCCCACCGAGTCACACCAGGCCCGTGGCTTCCTTTATTGGTGCTGTCGGCTGGGTGAGCGTGAGGTGGAGGCTGGGCTGGAGGGCAGCGAGCTGCTGCTGGGTGCCCGCAGGGCATGGGGGTCAAGCTGCTGCCCGGCTGGGCTGGCGTCCCCAGTCCCCGATTCCTCGCTGTTTTCCTCCTTCTGGCTGTTCTGCTGCTCTGGACACTCAAAGTGGACACAGTGGAACACCTGGGTGGGACAAGGAAAAGATCCCATGAGTGGAGGGTCAGCACGGCCCCAGAGCCTCCATGAGTTGGGAAACTGTCCTGCCCAGCTTTGGAGGGCTACCACACAGGGTTAGAGAAGTCCTTCCCTGGCCCAGACATCTGACAGCAACGAGAAGGATGCAAATGCATTTTGGCCAGTCAGGGAGTAAATGAGCCAGTGGTCCACAAGTTGCAGACACCACAACATGGATTCCCATAAAATGTTCACACTGGACTGCTCCATTTCTCTTACTTTTGTCTCATGGGCTCTTTTTAATTTTTTAATTAGTTTGTTTTGCATTTGGCTGTTGGGTTAAAAAGTCAGCAAGAGTTGACTGTGGTGATGGTTGCACAGCTCTGTCCTTTAATGATAGGTCCTCTAATAACATTTTGTTCTAACAGTGATGAGAAAAAAATTGATTCCCAGTCAGGGCCACTGTTTGTATGTAGTCTGCACATCCCCCCATGTTTGCATGGGTTTTCTCCGGTTCTTCCAGTTTCCTCTCATATCCCAAAGATGCACACGTGAGGTACACTGGCGAGTCTACATGGGCCCAATCTGAGTATGTGTGTGTGTGTGTGTGTGTGTGTGTGTGTGTGTGTGTGTGTGTGTGTGTGTGTTTGCATATGTGTGGGTATTAGTGTGTTTGTGTGCATATGTATGTAGGTGTTCGTGTATGTATGTATGGATATTAGTGTGTGTGTGTGCACATCCTATGATAGGATATGTCCTGCCCAGGACTGGTTCCTGCTGGGCACCTTGAGATGCTGGGAGAGGACATGGCCACCAGAGACCCTGAACTGCAATGACTGGGTAAACAATGATATTGCTTGTCTTTTAAATCATTCTTAAATGTATGGATAGCTCACATTTCTTTCAGTGTGTAATATTATGTTTTGGTCTTTATTTAGAAGTTTGGTGATATTTTTGTCACTGGAAATACACTGTAGGAGCTTCACTCTTGTTCACATGAATTAGCCTCTGGTAAAACTGGTTTCCTTTCCCTTAGAGTCATTTCCCTTAAAGTCAGTTTCTAAGAACCTAGCAACAGGTGTTAAGTGAGGACTTCCTGCATACTAAAAACCACAGAATTGTCCCCTTTAAGTGAGGTGTCTGGTATGGTGAGAATTATATCTCAGTAAAGTTATCAAAACAGCCAGCAGGTCACTTGTCTCTGACAAGGTCCTGACACACCATCTCCTGGTCCTGCGAGGGTAGAGCATGGACCAGGCCACACACTGTGCTAGAAGGGGACTTGGACTTTACGGGGCTCGGACTAGCCTGGTACAGGTGCCCTCGACTGGAGGAGCCAGCCGGCTGGCTGACGCTCCACTCCAAGAGCTAGCAAAACTTGAGTACCAGGGACTCTGTGCTAGCCACTGTGCACACAGGGCACACTGGGCCAGCGCTGGGCAGCAATGGTGAACCTGACTTGCGTGGTGAGCAGTGGGTACAGGACAAAAGGGTGGAGGGGCTGGTGGTCACAGCCTTCCCATGGGCCCCTTCCTCACAGTACTTGGGTACACAGCCTTCCACTGTAGAATCCAGTTGCCAGAAAAGATGCAGTGGCCACTGTGGGATTATACTGGAAAGGGGAATTCCATGCTTACCTTGCTGCATCACTATTTTTTCCATATTCCCACTTCAAGTTCACATTTCAAAATCTCCTAAGTTCCCATTTCAAAATCTCCTCTGCAGGCCAACTGAGGCCATGTGCTTTCCTGGTATGTCCAGTATTGGCTGTGGCCGTTTCCTTAGAGTGAGCTGGCTTCTGTCTTTGAAGGGCAGGCGCTCAGTCACTGTCCTGCCTCCTGCAGGCCTCACAGCGGCAGTGGCCCCAGGTAGTCTGTGTCTTCTTCCTTTTCCTCTTTTCCTTTCTACCTTTATTTATTTATTTTTAAAATAAAATCTCCCTCTTTGGGCCCATTGGCAGGCGTTTACCTGTCAACAGGCAGAGGGGCCTAGGTCACTGGGAGAGCCTTGTATGGAAATCTGACAATGATTTGGGCAGCCAGTTCTGCCTGAGCTGGGCAGGGTAAATTTGAAAACCATCCTCTAGGTGGCAACTATTAATCCACTCTTCTCCATCAGCTCCACATCCGGTCAGCTATCAAGACCATCTTCCGGTGGGTTCATCACTTTTCTAAGCACCAACCCAGTGACAGGCAGAGGCAGGCACCCGGCAGGCTCTGCGAGGGGCCAGGATCCTCATGGCTCCCCCTACTAAGCTCCTCGTAACTCAGCAAACATCGTCTTCTCTTCTGCAGTATGACAGAGTCACTCTCTGTCCCCATCACCCTGTATGATGGCAGCATTTTACTGGCCCTCCCTCCTCTGACACGGGAGCTCTTTATCCTGTCCCGTCATGTTCTGTAATCGGTTATTTGTGTAATCCCTGCTCTTGCTGCTCCTGTCAATATCTCCGGGGGCTGCTCCTCCGATCATCTGGCTGACACTAATCCTGGAATTGACTTACATTTGTCCTCCTCCTCATTACCTTTTCTCAAACTCTCCCCTCTTGTATTGAATGGTTTTTCTCTCCTTTTGCTCTTGCAAGGTTCTCTACAGTTCTGCTAATTTCCAGGCCAGCTCTTCCCACACGGGCCCTGCGAGCCTTGGGGCGCCTCCTCCCCCAAGGCCCCGCCCTCTCTGCTAGCCTCATCTAGGATCTGTCAGTTCCTATCTGACTCAAGGACCAAGGCTCAATTGTCCTTCCACCTGTGCAGGTTCTTACCCAGGAATAAACGAATCAATAAAAAACCCTGGATTAAGAAATAAAGCTAAAAAGATCTCAGCGCAGCCTAGGGCTGCAGTTTGTTCTTCAGAGCGTGCCTCTCACCTGAGGAGAGGTCCTGTATGCCATGCTGTCCCTGAGGGGCAGGTGGTCTCTGCTTGGTACTATGCTGGTCAAAAGCCCCGCAGACTCGCTGTCTGTGGTGAGCACATGATAAACGTTCCTGTCCTGACGTCCTGACTCTCATCAGTGCCCTGGTCCCATTGTTATTCCCATTTCCAGCTGAATTTATCTCTTGTCTAACTTGGGTGGCGTTAACTGCACAACTGTGTTTAGCCCATTAACCAATCTGTTTCCAAGTAATATTGCAAATGGCTGCTATTCCTAACACACCTAACAACACTGGCGGCCAATCTCAGCTGGCTGTTTCTGTTTCCTCACAAATATTTCTCCGGGAATCAACAGGAAAGAGTCATTTAAAAAAGACAAACAGATTTTGATTACAGACTGGATAAGACTGATAAGGGAAAGAAAAGTATTTATTTATTTATTTATTTATTTTTTTGAGTTGGAGTCTCACTCTGTCGCCCAGACTGGAGTGCAGTGGCCGCTCCCGGCCACCGCAGCCTTGACCTGCTGGGCTCCGGCAATCCTTCCGCCTCAGCCTTTCAAGTAGCCGGAATTACAGACGCGCGCTACCATGCCCGGCTAATTTTTTTTTTTATTTATTGTAGAGATGAGGTCTCGCCTGCCCAGGCTGGTCTCGAACCCGCGGGCTCAGGCAATCCACTCACCTCAGCCTCCCAAAGGTGTGGGATTACAGGCTGAGCCACTGAGCCCGGCTAAGAAAAGTATTTTCTGGAAGGGACAGGGACTACAGAAGGTGGTGCCACACAAGGCAGCAGGGTCAGGAGAAATCATAACTTTTCCTCCCTGACACCATGGAGTTCCTGGTAGGCTCTTCGAGTTAAGGGGGCCCGGAAGCCCCAGGCAGTAACTGCCTGCTGTGCTCCCAGTGGCTCTGCAAGGAGCCAGGGGACTCAAAGCCACTCCCAGCCTGTGACCCTGGAATCCTGACTCACTTTAATGTGGGCCCCTGGGGGCATCTCCATGAAGCCACACAGACTCTGCCAGGTTCCAAGACAACAACACAGGCAACACTGAATTTTAAGTCACAGTGTGGTGAAGATTTTAAGTGAGAAAGAGGGTTTTGTAGAGAGATGCTGAAGAAGGAGGCCTGCGGGGTGGGGTGGGGGGGTGGAGATCAGAGCCAGCAGGCTAAGGGCAGCAAGTCCAGAAGGCACAGGCCTCTGTGCACCAAGCAGAGTTGGTGCACGTCACATGCAGCAGGCATGGCTAGAGGACAAGAGCCTGCACGTGTGCATGGGAATAGAAGGTGCATATGAGTCTGAGGTTGGAAGGCGCATGCATGCATGCCACAAGGAGGCACCTCCCACATGCTCACTGGCCGAGGTCCCAAGCCCCCCACAAGGTACATGTCCAGTGAGGCCAGTGCTGCCAGCAGGGAGCCCCTAGGGGGGAAGGGACCCAGCCAACCTGGGAGTCTGGGAAGACCTTCTGGAGGAGGAGACCTCTGCGATGAGTCTGGAAAGATGAGTCAGAAAGAAAAGGCGGAGGAGGCAGAACCTGGGGTGGCAGGAAAGAGGAAAGAAAAAGGGTCTCCTGCCAAAGGGTGATGACAGAGAAAGGCAGGCCTGGGAAGCCTGGAGTGCAGGAAGGTGTGGGCAGGTGGGGAGTGGGGGTAGTGCAGGGGACCAGAGGCAAAGCCCAGTGGGTCAGGGTGAGGGCCTGGCCCAGAACAGGGCAGGGAGCCTGAGACTCTGAACAAACTAATATTTCTTAAATTTCAAAAATATTACGGCCAGGCATGGTGGCTCACACCTGTAGTCCCAATACTTTGGGAGGCTGAGGTGGGATAACTTCTTGAGCCTAGGAGTTCAGCCTGTGGAGAGAATTTGTCCCTACAAAAAAATTAAAAAATTAGCTGGGTGTGGTAGTGTGCATCTGTAGTCCCAGCTACTCAGGAGGCTGAGATGGAAGGATTGCTTTAGTAAAAGAGGTTGAAGCTGATGAAGTAAGCCATGATTGTGCCACTGCTTTCCAACCTGAGAGACAGAGTGAGACCTCGACTAAAAAAAAAAAAAAAAATTCAAAGGGAATATGTGTTTGTGGTGACAAATTCAAATAATGTAAAGTGTTTTACAACAGTATACAACAACAAGCCACA